GCGGAGTGTGTACTTTTTGTATTCTTGGGTTTCATTAAACTGGCCAGTAGGGGGCGAATGAGCAGACGTGGGACAACTCAGTTTTGCTCCCATTGAAAACCATGTAAAGTCCGTTTTGGAGTCAAAAGGCTCTCCTCCTGTGCGGTGTACGGTTGTTGTAACAGTCTTAATCGGGGACATTCAATTCTAAGGGAGTACAAAAAAATATTTCTCAAAGGTGTCTTGATTTTTGGAGAAAATAAACAGAAGAAATTGCTGCGTTTCATTGGGGTGGCCTGCAGGGGGCGCTTATCTAGGAAAGCCTTGATCCACCTCGCCCGCCTCATTCCAGTGATTTTTTTCAAACTGTCCTCCTCTATATGAGACCACAGTTGGAACATGAACAAACTCTTGTCTTTCTCTCTCTTTGTGCGGTTGCTACAAGCGTACACCGCACACAAAGATGGCATTTGACAGCACTTCTTCTTCTACTATATCTCCGTGTATAAACCCGGCAGACTGCACCGCCAGGGTACGTCCGGTCCGGTCCTACGTTTGTTATTCGCGCCACTGCTCTGACGTCATATGAAACCCAAGAATTGATGCCAAGTCTATCTCATTTTAACTGCAAAAAGAATCTACCCACAGGTACAGATAAAGTCACCTTGAACCTTGAACATTGAGTGCGTTTGGTTTGATATTGTCCAGGTTATTTCGTCCCCTACACACTTAAAGCTGGGGTATACTATCTGTAACATCACCAAAATAACTAATCCAACTCAAGCCACTAGTCCCTCATTCTCAAAACATGCATGTATTTTATATTTGTCACATGTTTAGATCAATCATTCGATAAATCCATTTTATTTATAGAGCTCCTTACAACACTCAAGGCGACCAAGTGCTTTACAATAAAATCACAAAAAATCTATTAAAACAGTTAAAAAGCATTAAAAATGTGTCACCGCGCTAATGAGTGATAAAAGTGTTAAAAGCCAGTCTGAATAAATACGTTTGAGCCTCGAATTTATAAAGGCCAAAATCAGTGAGGACGGGCATGTCAGCGGGCAGCTTGTTCAAGAGTCTGGGTCCAGGACTGAGAAGGACCGGTCTCCCCAGAGTTTTTGACCTGGTCCTATCATGGATCTATAGGTTCTTCCAGGAGGAGTTGAGATGAGGACCTCAAGGATCTGCCTGAGTCACGAACAGTCAAAAGTTCGGAAAAGTACGTAGGGGCGAGACCATTGAGGGCTTTAAAAACAATAGTCCATCCATCCATCCATTTTCTATCCTTTAAAATTTTTAAATCAACTCGAAACAAAACTGGAGCCAATGTAGGGAGTAAAGGACTGGGGCGATGTGTTTACGTCTGAGTGCGTTTGTGTGTTTGTTAAAAAGCTGCTAACAAAAATATCAAGTTTTTTTCTCATAAGAGTTTGGTTTTTGGTAGGGATGTACCAATCCAGATTTTTTGTGATCCGATCCGATTCCGATATTCTTAAATATTGTTTTGCTGATACCAATCCGATACCGATCCAATTTTTTCTAATATTTTCAAAGTATTAAAAATTTTGCAACCAGTATTACTTACAAATGTTTGTTTTTTTTTTTTTTTTTTTTATATCAAAAATATTGTTTGGCTTTTGGTTAACAGACCTACTGAGTTAGGTCATAGGTAAGAATCACATCAGTGTTGAATATTTCACCTTTAAAATAAACCTGATATAAAATAAATATCAAAGAGGAACAATTATCAAAAAGCTGCCCTCAACATTCAGTATAAACAACAAGAAAAGAGCTGGTACAAAACTGAATGACCACAAAAAGCCAGTTCTTAACCAGTGTGTGAACTCTGTAAATGTGAACTCCCCGATATTTAACAAACCCGATAATATCCGATCCTTACAAAATATCCATATCTGCCCCTGATACCGAAACTGAATATCGGATTGGTACATCCCTAGTTTTCGGAGGTCCAATCTGTGTTAATATCAGTTATTATTATTCAATCACTGACAGTAAAGGCTAAATAAGTGTGAAGGTAAAACTTAACACTTTTTGAATTTGAGCCTGGATTTGACTTCACTTTCCCACAGTAGAATACACCCAAAGGAATAAATCAGCGGGTACCAGGCTGATCCAATGAAACCAGGACTGGGTAGTGGGTGAGAGAACAGAGACTACATCTGACTGCTCTGGAGGCTTCAGAAATATGAACATTTAGTAATAACTGTGATCATATCTGACTTTCCAAACTCTCTCCGCACGTGTCACCTCCTCGTTAATAACTCCATATGTTTATTTACACACGCAGCTTTTCTCTGGAAACAATACCACGTGGTTGGATTTTTTACAACATGCAAATAGTCACTTTTAACAGACTTTCTGTGGGGATGCAAAAAGTGTATGATTATATGAATTAATTATTTATTTCGAGCCAAAACAAGAACAAAGAACAACAACAAAACCACAACAGAATAGACACAATACATAATAATAAACAAATATACAGTATGTTTTGTGTTATTGAGGAGTGGGTTACTAAAATAAGTTACTATTTAGGAGGGCTGGAATATTCCACAAAACTCAACTTTGAAAGGGACATAAAGTCTCCTATAGAGTTTTAAATGTTTAGACCTATAATTTCTTTACGGTTTTTTTCCGCATTTTTCTCTCTCATAATAAATACCACGTATAGGCCTTTTATGAGACGGAAAACTATACAACGTGCTTAAACTCTCTCCCTCCTCATAAATATCACTGTTAATCACCAAATGGTCTGTTTCCTCAAAAGAAAATCTAGCCTATAATCAAGCTGTCCGCGCACGGCCTAATGGCGGACATTACAGAGAGACGCGTCTGCATCTGCGCAGAACGGACCCAAGTCACACGATTACACAGGAAAAGAAACGTATTTATGTATTGTCCTATAACGTGCTGTTCTGATCCAGGCAAAGACACACACGCATCATGAGGGAGGAGGGAGATCCAGCCTCGGGCCTCCGTGTGAAATGGAAATGAGCCCAAACGTAAAACACATATGCCCCCCATATATAAGAAAGAAGAGAGTTGTGACCCATGGAATATCTTATTGTAATGAACTATTATAGCATATGTCTATTTCAAAATGAGTGCGACAGTGAAGTTGGCAAAAATAATGAAATAATAAATAGATAGTGCGTGAAGATGACGTCAGCAGATGCTTGAACTAAAGTCAATGAGCTGTACTATACTGCGCTGCTATAACAGTATTTTCATGTGTTCAAATGGGATCAAACGGGAGACTGGCCCAGAGGCACAACACAGAATATGAATGATGCACTATAAGAATATGTCTAAATACGATTATCTAAATACTGGAATGAAGAGTACAGTGGGTTCACTTTGTTGGATGGAGAAATGTGAGTGGATTTACTGTTTCCCCACGATCCTTCTGTAAAACGGTGTCCCCTAAAAAGAGCCTTGTTCAATTCACATTTCATTCATATAGAATGATGTTATTTGTTGTGTCATTCTGCCATTTTCAGTGTGTGTGTGTGTGTGTGTGTGTGCGTGCGTCTGTGTGCATGTGCGTGCCCAAATGCTCTGCTGAATTATGACGAAAAACACTATGACGTCACGGATAAAGTAGATTTCTAATGTCTAAAACGAAAGGATTTGCCCATAAAAATCAGTTTTGGGAATTTCACCAGTAAAATTTCAAGGGACTCACACGCGCATCCGTGTTTTAGGTCTAGTCTCAGATTCTAAAACGTTAATATAAGTGAATATTCTATGGGACTATACAAAAAGCATACTCTTATTTTCCCTTTAAATACAAAACAATATGTTTTAAAAAGTGTTGTTAATGTTTCGCTTTAAAATATTTTCCTGATTATTATTTTTGTGTACATTTTTGACACCACAGAATTATTACCTAGAGAAAAAAACTGTTTCAAAAGCCGAAAGCCGCTCGGTCCACGACGTCAAAGTCTGAAGATTCGACTGAGTAACGAGTTTGAAAACGGTGGAGTCGGACAGAAGGGTGCGGGGGTGTCTGTCACAGTTGTGTCAGAAGTCCCGGATGTCCGCGTGGATGGACTAACGTGTTTTTGATGTGGGAAATCTCAAGGAACAAGACACTTTCACAGAATATGTTTATTTTAATCCTTCTAACGTGGCTTTAACTTCATTTCATTTTAAATTAACTTTATGCATATAAGAAACATAATATCTTAATTATAACTTGCATTTTAATGACAAGTTTACAATTATATTTTATGTTTTTGTTTTTATTTTCTTCTTGGCTTTAACAATAGCCATAAAAACAATAGGCCTCTACTGCATCTCAACATTTAAACATGTGTTACATTTACAAATCTGTTTTTAATTATATTCCCCGAGTACAAACTAACATTATTATTATTATAAAGTCATAATGTTGAGAATAATAGATATTTACACGTTCTCTGCAGCACATGCGGTCACTCACGCGCGCTGCGGCACTAGACATGTGCGTGAAAGACTTTCTCCAGTTTAATCGATCTCATGTTTATAACAGACACGGAGAAGAGAAAATAAGAACATCTATTGTCTAATACTAACATCTAAATGTCTAATACTAAAAATAGTTTTCAGTGCGTAAAAATCTACTGTTTCTAAAAGTGCCTCGGCCTCGCGCGTTTACGTTTTGGGTTTAAAATCACGCTTTTATTTATGATCTGCATGACAAATATTGTATTAATCAACACAAACATATATTTTAATTTAAAACAATGAATATAGAAGGTAAAAACTGAGTATCTGAAATATTTTGTGTTTGGAAAGAGATGGAAATGACCACAGTGCATGGGTCAAAGTCGTGGTCCTGGGCCTTCATTCTGTTGTTCCCTTTTCCTGGTGCATTTTATATAAATATTCTGTTCCAAAAGTGATATATTTGATTCTGAGTTGTGTATAATTTAAAGTTTAATGTTTCCTCTTTCTCTCAGACTGAATCCACAGAATGTGTAAAAACAGACATTATTATAAACGTCACTCACCTGAGAACCGGTGCGCGAGGTAGCGGCCCCGGAGCAGCCACGAGCCCGGGTAGAAGCCCAGGCCCGCGTGCGCGTGCTGGGCAAGCTGCAGCGCGTGCGAGTGTCCGTGCGCGTGCCCAGGCTCGTGCAGCAGCTCGTGTCCCTGGGGGAAAAGGCGCGCACCCCCGAACGCGTCAAAGCGCAGCGCCGTGGGCCTCAGCGGCTCCGAGACCAGACCGTGTCCAGAGACCAGACCAGGACCCGGACCCGGACCAGAGCAGGACTTCCCCACCAGCGCCTCGATACTGAAGGCCTTCCGCGGGGACGCACTGGGGAACATGCTCCCAAGTCCCGGGTCTGGGTTAGGACCAGGTTAGTCCCAGGGGTCAGGACCCGTTTACCCAGGGGTTAGGACCAGGTTAGTCCAGGCTGAGACCTCGGTATAGTCCTGAATCCTGGACCCGAATGTCCTAACCAGGTCACTCCAGAGTTAGACCTGGTCTGGAGTGTTTGGGTCTGGGACAGATTCCACAGCTCGTCCTTTTCCTCAGGGCTGGAGCTTGTGCCGCTCGATCCAAACTCCTGGTCCGTGTCTAGAACTCCTCCAGGGGCAGAGCTGGGAGGTCTGACCTACTCTCCAGTCCTCAGCCTGGACCTACTCTCCAGTCCTCACTCCTCAGACCTCCTCTCCAGTCCTCAGACCTCAGACCAGCTTTTGACAGATGTTTGTTTCACACTCTTTTAGGTGCACTTGGCACGTGCATGGGTCCTTGTTTAGTCCAAGGTTTTAGTCCCGACATAGTCCAGGGTTTAGTCCATTAAAGATGATGTGAACGCAGAAGTGAAATAAAAACAGAAAACTCAGCAGAACTCAAACAGCGCGTCTCCTCTGCTCAGATAAATCCTCTCTGCTCCATCTCTCTCCCACATCGCTCTCCTCTGTGCCCGCTCAAAGCCTCACACCCCGGGCCTCTGGATCTCTGCAGCGGAGTTTCGTGGGGTCCGTGGCCGGGAGAGGGGCTCTGTCCGCGGGCTGCTGTGTGTGCTCAGGGCCGGTGCTCTGGAGCGGTGCGTGCTGCTGTCTGAGCCCGGGTGGAGAGCGCCTCTGAGTGGATACCTGAGACAGCTCCGCCCCTCTCACCCCCCGAGGGAGAGGTGTATTGAGCATGCGCAGAATGAACACATATACAGACACACGCACATATGCACACACATACACACACGCACACATAAACTCACACATACACACACTAAAAGGTGGTTATGTGGCTAAGACATTTTTTTCCCAAACAGAGAAACCTCTGATTTGAAGTTTTTGAAAAACTTTCTGAATTGTTGGTTCTTCTTTTTATGAGGAAAAGACGAGTTTTTTTTTTTTTTTTTTCAAGAAGTCAATTCAATTATGACTATACAACAAATTACAATACATTTTTTTAAAAGCCAAATGAAAAGGTATTTGGCTAATTTATTTTTCACGTGTTGAAAATATAAAACTAAACAATGGAAAAAAAGTTCAAATAAATAACATATATTTTACTTTATTTTCACAAATCACTGTATTCCTCAAAATGAAATGAAGGAGATTTATTTACGGACAAATAATCTGTATTATGTACAGATGTGTATGTATCTTGTATCAATTATTTAATAATAATAATAGTAATAGTAATAATAATAATAATACAAATTATAATTAAAAATTCATGTTGGTTTATTTCATGCATTTTAATAAACATGTGCCATGCTTTGACTTTCTGTGTAAACGTCTGTATACCTAAACCATTGATGGATTCATTGATATATTGCAAGCTGTGAAACAATTAACATTTGCAATTAGAAAGGGGAGCATTAAGACAAATACGATCAATAAAATAAAATAAATAATAATAGGCTAAAATAAATATGTTGCTATTTATTTGACATTTTCCAACACCTCAGATTCAAAGACTGTAATAAGTTAAAGTATTTCTGGAGTGGGAAAAGAATATGTCACATGTTCATTAGCGTTAGCATCAGCGCGTGTGCTAAACATGTTGAGACTAATGAGTTTGTGAAGCCCCCCGCGGAGCCCCAGTGTGTCGCTGCTTTAGCCCCGTGTGAACATAGACCCCCCCAGGACCCCCCCAGGACCCCCTCCAGGGAGAGAGGCCTGCAATGAAACCACACTTATTCACTCATTCAAAGGTGTCTAATGTTCTATGTACAAATCAACATAAGAGCACTTGATATTAAAGCTGGGGTCTGTAACTTTCAGACCACAACAATGGAACTTTGTAATAATACATGGCACTCGTTTTATTGTACTTACGTATTTTTCTGGACGTTTTTAGACATTATGGACATTTGTCTCTGTCCCTTATGGACCAATGGCTCTATGTGTTTTTATGATTGCATTTCTTGAGTTTGATTCTCTGATCTGTGTTGGCGAATTCAACGGTTTTGTAAAGTCCTCCGAGATAACTACTGTTGTGATTTAGGGCTGTACAAAGAGAAAAAGACAAATTATTTTAAAATGATTTCAGACTAAATGAAAAAGAGTGGACCACCATCACTCAGCCAATTAGTAAGAAATCAAAGGTTACATTAAAGGCATGTAGATTTCCCCAAATTGTAGGAAAGTACAGCCCTCTCCACTTTTTGGTCTTATTTGACGAGCATGCATCACCAGAATGATTGACAATTCTGAGGACCAATCGTCTTAATGATCCACCGGAAGTTGAAAATCCTCCAATACGTATTCCCCTTTAAAATAGGATCTGATTTGTTCACGACATCTCTTTCTGTTGAACCCAAAACATGCATTATTTATGAAACCCTCATAAAGCACAAAGTGGATTCATGAGATCATGAGTGTAACTTTAGGGATGAGTGCGCACAATTTTAAAGTCATCTGACAATAACTTTTCCAATTTGGGAATGTCTTGGGTTTCATTAATCCAAAATGCGCAAATTTGATCACGCCACCCCTGTTCTTGGTTCTCTTCACTGACTCTCTGTGCACCTTCGTGTTGATTTTAAGATTCTTTTATTTGTGTTTAAATATTTGATCAACGACGGCACAGTGGGTTCAATTCCAGCTTTCTGTGTAGAGTTTTCATGTTTTCCCCCTGTGTGTGTAGGTTTCCTCCTGGTGCTACGGATTCAATTCAATACAACAGAGATTGTGGAGGGAATGGAAACATTTCTGAACTCTCAACAATTGTAAAGCGCTTCAATCTGAGAGTACAATCTATACTCTATACAGCGGTTCTGTGAGGGCCTCAGAGCAATATTCAGAGTGTATTGGTCACTAAACAGCATCATGAAGTGTGTAGAAGAAGTGTTAAATGTACAAATATAAATATGTACCAAGCTTTGAAAATCTCACAGAGCACCGTTCAATCCATTATTCCACATGGCACCACTGCAAACCTACCAAGACACGGCCATCCACCAAAAATGTCACACTAATAAAGGAGCGCATTAATCAAAAATGCGTCTGTACATGGGGCAAATATTAGACGTTCTCTTCAAAAAAAATGGCCTTTACTTGGTGGAAAGTAGAAAACCAGAGTTGATTTAAAGGCACAAGTCGCAAAGCAGGGAGAAACGTGTTATATGGCTCAAAACTTTACACTTACCATCTCAATTGTTAGATATGGGGGTGGCAGCATCATGTTATGGAGCTGCTTTTCTTCAGCAGGGACAGGGGATCAAATGACAGGATAATCTAAAGGAACGACTTGAGAATGAGGTGAACAAAAAGACAATGGAGTGGTTCAAAACAAAGCCAGGATATAAATCTGCTGCTTCACAAACTCTTCTCTAATCTTTTTTTTTTTAAGAGTAAGTAAGATACAGTGCGTCACCTCACTAGAGATTCAGAGTTTTGATATATCTCACCAGTTTTCCCCAATATCGGTTACATTTATCAGTAGACAGTCTCAGTGAGAATGTCATCCTCTCCATGTCATAAATTACTTGAATCCAGTCAGAAAGTACAGGTGCGTCCTTACTTTCTTTGCTTTCTTTGCTCCAACCAACAGAATTGACAGAAGATCTTTTCGGGATTTTGTCATTCCACATGAAAAACATCCTAAATATGCTCCAGCAAACGCAAGTGAAAGAGATGATCCAATTATGCCTTGAGTTGCTGTTATCACTGTTGACCAGTAGGGCGCGATCTTTACACAGTCCCAAATGATATGAAAATGTCCCGCTTCGATATGTCCACAGTCCCTCCAACAAAGAGCCCTTTCGAGGTCATTGCACCCTTTTTTTCTAACATAAGGTGAAACAAAAAAAGGCATAACAGTCCTCCATGAAAATTCTCTCCAAAAACCAGAGCTGGAAGCATTCATAACTCTTCCCTAATCTTGACAGAGAGTTTTTTTATGGAAGACAAATGTTCAATCTCTAGATGTGCAAAGTTTTTAGAGTCATACACAAAAAATGTGTGCAGTGAAATGGGAGTTCCACAAAGTATTGACTCATGCTGTATACGTTCACTTTTCAGTTCAGAAAATAACAAAATCACTCATCATTTTGCGTTGTCTTCAGTCTTTGGAGTTGTCTGTAACTTTCAGTAAAAAGTCCAAAACAAATGTCCCAAGAAATTGTTCTAATGCGTTGGATGTGAGGCCTCTCTGTCATTCCCTGATCTTGTTGTTTTTGTTTTTGTTAAAGAAATCTGACAAACGAACCGAGTTATGAAAAAATCACAATGAATGAGAGTCCTGAAGGAAGTCCTGAGAGGCTGCTGCAGGCGGGGAAGGGCCACGGAGCTCAGCTGTTGCTGCGGCGCTCTGCTGCTCCCCAGTGGCGTTATACCGGTGTGCGCGCGTATATGTGTATGAGAGAGAGAAAGGGCCAAAATACAAGCAACAGTGTGGAGGCCTGGTAGAATGGACTTTTGTTATTGACAGAATACTTATTTTACATCATCATCAAATAAATATCTGTGTAATTCCCAATTATTACAGATATCCTCAATGATAACTTAATACATGTGTGTATCTGCAGCATGTGCAGTGTGTGTGGAACGACCTCTCTGGAAAACTACCATTTCCTGATACACTGTGGCAGAGTGGTTAGCTGCTTCAGTCTCACTGTGGCAGTGATTCCAATAAAATCCAATTGATTCATATTTCAAGAAGATCACTAATTGAAGTATTTTTTTAAAACCATTTTACACATGGTAAAAACAGCTATAGGAGGAGCAAGACATATCCCTCATTTTAAAGCCGAGAATTAACTTGTTTTATATCAGCTTCTACACATTTGTTATTAGCTGGTGATGAAAATGTGGAATCATTCAGCAAACTTCAGCTCAATTTAGTAAATCAGAAGTTCATGCCATACTCTCGGTAAAATCTGTTATGAAGATGGATTATAATCCTTACACTGTTTAGAAAGATATCTAGCGGTTTTCCCAAAAAAGCAAAACTAAATTGACATTACTGATGTTTTAACAGGATTGAGATGAGTGTCAGTTTAAATAAATGCATTGCCTATTGTTGTTTCACTTTAGGAATGTGAGCTTTTATTTATGTGGTTCGGGCGGTTTCATGACATAATGTATTTGAATAATGTTTGTTTAAATCTATAATAATTACAACACGAGCAAACGCTGAGAATGTTCCAGATGGGAACAAGTCAGATGCATTTAACCCGTTAATACAGATCCATGATTAAACCGCAGGTACGACTGAAACCAAAGAACGAGACCCAGTAAAGAAATGTCAGTTTTTATTGACTTTGAGTGGAGCCAAGGATGTGGATAAATTCAAAGTGCTTTTCCTCGGCCCACGAAAAAAACATTTCAAAATTGGCACAAAAAGCACATTCTGTACAAAATGATCACAAAATATCATATGAACCATTTAAATGAACGGACACGGACCTGGACCCGGTCTTCTGTCCAGTGAAGGCAGCAGAGCGGTGACCTGAAGGGACGGGTCAGAAACTTAACCCCAGAACTAAGATTTATGGAAAAAGGACAATCTCATAAAAAAATAATGTACACTTTAATGTGGCGTTTTACTGAAAATACTTTGTGTAATCTGCGTCTGGGCTGCAGCTCTGAATGTTCGACTCTGCTCAAGGATAAACAACCTGCATTTGAACTTTGTTTTGTAGATAACACATGTTTGTTCCAACAGAAAGAGTCTTGTGGTAAAAACATGTTGTGGTATGATTCTCTTCACATTTCCCCGTCTTCAGAAAACATTCTTTTTAGACTTGTAGAAACATTTTTGTACAAATATGCAAAAGGTGAGCTACTATTTGACTCTTTGGGCGGAAAGCCAATTTGCGGAGTGAGCGTGGTCCTCCATTTTTCCACTTTTTTTGTCTGAAAATGCTGATCTAAAAATGTGACAGAGGCCAAAAATACATTATGTGAAAACTAGTGATAGGAGCAAATTGTTTTAGAGGAATTATTACATATCAGGATCCTCAACAATAGATAACATTTGGATAATGGACTAAGAGATGACTAGCATGAACAACTCCCATCTAGAGGTAGACTACATTCAGATATGAGATCTAAATCTAGCAAGGCGTGGCATTATTATCAGCTGTAAAGAACCAGAAAACAGAGCATTTCAACAGAAGGGACGGGGGGAGGGCAAATGGACCGGATATCAGTGTGGATCTGTGTGTGATGAGGATCAATGTCAGGACATGGTTAGAAGAAACAACCAAAAGGTGAATTTAATCAAAATTAATGATTAAATTCTGTAGAGAAATCTGTACCTGTGTAAGCCCAGACACCACAGTTTGAGAAACACTGCTCAGAGTCAGTAGAGTACAGTGAGTACAGTACAGTAAAATACTCAACTCCACACGAATGGCTTGTTTTGAAACGCCTTCACAGTTTTAACCAGTCACTTGTAAAGAGGGCCCACTCAGCCGATGCATAGGAGATACAATTCCGCAATACTGAACGTTATTTTACATTATTTTTCAAAATTTCGTCGCAAAAATGAACAAATCTATACAAAAATATGGCACTGCAGAAGAGGCCGCTGCTGCTTATTGTCCGCAGAGTCTGAACTGGGATTTCCTCTTCATCCCAGAGCACATTTTGTCTATGTTTTCGTGACCAGTGAGGAGTCTGGTGTGAGACGGCCCAGCGGTCACCGGGGGGCGATCTCCGGCAGCATGGTGGCCAGGTGCATGCTGGGATAGGAGTCTCTGTGGCGGATCTTGAAGACGAGCTCCTCTTTCTGTTGGGAGAGGTGCTGGTTCAGGCTCTGCTGTCTGTCCAGGGCCAGCTTCAACTCCTGCTGCTCCGCCGACAACTGCCTGCAGGGGGAGACAGAGGGGAGGAGTCAGTGTCACACCCCAGTTTGTCCGGGTGGATATAAATGAGGGAGTATGCTCTTTTGACCAGATCCAACCAGGCAATCAAGTCTACAACAAGGAAGCTTTGAGGTGGCATCATTGCGACATCATTAAAAACAAACTTTTTACATTTGAACATTTTGGAAGCTTTTGCCCACTGAAATTGTTTGTTAAATGTCCTCTGGTCTGGCTGTCAGACGTCAAGGCTCTCAAAGGCCTAACACCAGAGCCTCGGTCAGTGGGGAAGGTCTGGTTCCTAAGTTCAGAACATCGTTGGGACAGTCCAGCTGTTCCTTCAATGAAGCCAAACTGTGGAACACTCTTCCCACGGACTTAAAACTACAGACAGACTTAAACGTCTTTGTCAGACGTCTGAAACTGTGGCTGAAATCGGAGCAACGTTGTTTACATGATTAATGAACTGTATATTTAATTACTTTTATATTTTTAATGTTTAAATGTGCACATGTGTGTCCTAAAAGCCTTCTATGGACAAGTGTTGAAAATGATCATGGTCTTGCTATAACACTAAAGGCAGTGCATCTGGTCTGTCCAATGTCCATATCAAATAAGTAAATAAATAAAAATAAAAATCCACAGGCGCATTGAGGGCGACTGTACATTTGGCTCTGGGCGATCATATCACTCCGCTGGCTCCCTGTTCCATACCGCAGACAATACAAGGCCCTCCTCCTCCTACAGGTCCCTCTATGGCTCCTTGTTGCCTCACTGACCTCCTCCATCATCACTGTCCCTCCCACCGCCTCAGATCCAGACTCCAACCTCCTCACCCCCATCAGGACAAAACACCTATCCCGGGGGACCGAGCCTTCGCTGCAGCAGTCCCCACTCTCTGGAACTCACTCCCACAATGCATCAGCAACTCCTGCTCACTTCAGAACTTTATATAACTTCTCAAAAACCACCTGTTTCTGCTTCTTCTGTGTTTATTATGTGTTTTGTAAAGCGTCTGAGTGTCCAAAAAGCGCTACTTAAGTTTGATGTATTATCATTATTTATATTATTATTCAGAAACAAAGTAATCTATTTATCTATTTGTTTTATGATTGTCAGTGTTGCATCACCGTTCATTACAGAACTTTAGGAATGAGGAGCACAAGATACATGATTAATAACTCTACTAAAATAACAATAAAAAAATTCAAACTTTGCACAATTATTAAGCAAGTCTCTCTCTAGCTTTAGCGTTGTAAGGAAGCAAGTTCCAAATCTCCAACACTGTCTGCGGTGCACAGGACTGAGTGTGACATCACTGAAGTCAAGAGAGAGTTTTATGTTCAAGGCACGAGGCACAGAGCACACAGGTCCCTCACTGAGGCCGGAGTCTGACTGAGACAGAGGCCGGAGTCTGACTGAGACAGAGGCCGGAGTCTGACTGAGACAGAGGCCGGAGTCTGACTGAGACAGAGGCCGGAGTCTGACTGAGACAGAGGCCGGAGTCTGACTGAGACAGAGGCCGGAGTCTGACTGAGACAGAGGCCGGAGTCTGACTGAGACAGAGGCCGGAGTCTGACTGAGACAGAGGCCGGAGTCTGACTGAGACAGAGGCCGGAGTCTGACTGAGACAGAGGCCGGAGTCTGACTGAGACAGAGGCCGGAGTCTGACTGAGACAGAGGCCGGAGTCTGACTGAGACAGAGGCCGGAGTCTGACTGAGACAGAGGCCGGAGTCGGACTGAGACAGAGGCCGGAGTCGGACTGAGACAGAGGCCGGAGTCGGACTGAGACAGAGGCCGGAGTCGGACTGAGACAGAGGCCGGAGTCTGACTGAGACAGAGGCCGGAGTCTGACTGAGACAGAGGCCGGAGTCTGACTGAGACAGAGGCCGGAGTCTGACTGAGACAGAGACTGGAGTCGGACTGAGACAGAGGCCGGAGTCGGACTGAGACAGAGGCTGGAGTCTGACTGAGACAGAGACTGGAGTCTGACTGAGACAGAGGCCGGAGTCTGACTGAGACAGAGACTGGAGTCGGACAGAGGCTGTGGTCGCGTGGCCTGAGGCTGCGTGTGCTGAAGAAAAGAATCTATTGAAGCACTTCAAAATACAGTCACTTCACTTTCCCTTCACATCTGATGGAAAAGTAAAACAGCCTTTTTGCAATAAATTGTGTTTTTTCTGATTAACATTACACCATTCAGTCAGTTTTTTTTTTTTTTATAATAAAGTGTCCTACTTTGAAGAGAACCGGTGAGTGGGCGGAAAACATGAGCCCAGATAACAAATATTTGGAATGTAGAGAATGGCCTTAGTCGTGGATCTAGAGCCTGTTGGTCCGTGGGAGTAGCTCCCTCCTCACTGTGGGCCTCCCAGGAGTCTCTCATTTTCTCCCACTGGGTTAGGGTGTCTCTTCACAGATGGAGGAGGGTTTGAGGACAGTGGTGAGGATCCAGGACACTCCACAACTACATTTGAACATTGCTCATCTGCCCCTGAAGTGCTTTTCATCATTGCATTTTTTTGTGTTAGAACAGTTTTTCTTTGATCTGTGTTGGCCAATCGGCGGCTTTGGTTAGTCCTCACAAACATACATTGAATTGAATGATATACATTCTGTCATGGTTTAGATTTTTTAACCCATGTCTTCTTTGGTTGTACTTCCTGTTTGATTACCTGCCCCGCCCTCACGTGTCCCAGTGTCTCGTTAGTCTTGTAGTTAGCCCCATGTGTTCCGTCACTCCCTGTTCCGTCAATGTCATTCCACGTCTGTTTTTGTTCTTGATCCCCGTTTGATTCCTTTTTGTGATTTTTTTCTCCTTGGTCATTGGTTTCATTATTAAATTGTCTTTTTTTCCCATCCTTGCATTTCAGGTCCTTGCCTTCATCACCCCACATGACACATTCTAGACAAATCCAAGAAAGACGCCATTTGTGTTTCAATGATATCCAGCAAACAACATCAGTGTACAGTGGATCCAGACATGTGTATAGCGACCCCTGCTGATCAGGTGGGAACATTGCATTGGCCTCACTGACACCAGGACGAAGAAGGAAGCTCTCAGAACCTCCGCAGACACACGCAGCTTTGAAGGTCTAAACTACAGACTGAGCAGCTCTTAAAACAAATCTATGGAACAGAATTAAATCATAAATGATGAGGGCCTTTGCGTTTTGTGGCCACATTTATATTTGATTGCAATTAAAGCTAGGGTCTTTCTGTAAATGATACTGATAATAATAATAATGCATGTTTATTGAGACAGAAAGTGCCCTGTAATTAGGAATCCTTGAGAGAAAGCCCTGTGAGTCATAATTTGACCCTTTGGGCTGAGATCTGATGTGGGTGGTCCTCTTTTGCACTAGAATATACAGATTTTTATATTTACTTCGCTATTATGCTAAGGCAGGGGCGTCAAACTCTTTTTGGTCAGGGGCCGATAAAAAAAAAAAAAAAAAAAAAAGGAACTGTTCGGGGCCGAAACAATAGAAGAGATTTCATTTTCTTATCATAGTTTTTTTCAGTTGTGTGCACAGATTTTGATGGTTTAGTCATTATAGGCGATTTTAATATTCATGTGGATAATGTTAATGACAGATACGCAAAAGAGCTGAGTTCCATACTTGAATCCTTTGGCCTCACTCAGCATGTGAGTGGCCCCACCCATAGCAGAGGACACACCCTGGACCTGCTTATCACGAAAGGGGTGAATATTTCAAAAGTTAATGTAGTTGATGTTGCTCTGTCGGATCATTTCTGTGTATTTTTTAACATGTGTTTTGCTACCAGACCACCCGCTAAATATGAAATTGTTAGAAGTAGACACTTAAATGAAAACACGGGTGAACTATTTATGGGAATGATCCATTTTGAGAACACATCATGTTCTACTGTAGATGAACTGTTTAACTCTGTCACCTCTAGTGTGTTGAATGTTCTGGACGCCATTGCCCCTGTGAAGGTAAAAATGGTCACAAATAAGCAAAAAGCCCCATGGATAAAAGCAGGCCCGGTCAGGGCACAGAAGCAAGAGTGCCGGAGAGCAGAGAGAAAGTGGAGAAAGTCCAACCTCCAGGGTGATTATAAACTCTTAAAAGAGAAGTTGTGTGAGTTTAACAGAGTACTACGTAGAACAAGAGAATTATACTTTTCTGAAACTATTGAAGGCTGCAGCAACAATCTGCGTGTTCTATTTTCAACAATCAATAGATTAACGAACCCCCCTGTTGAGTTGCCATTAGAACACTTCTCCAAATCCAGGTGTAATGAGTTTGCACAGTTCTTCAGAGACAAGGTTCAGGGTATCAGAAATACCATCACCTCTACAACACAAGTAACAATGCAACATCCAGTGAGGCTTTGTGAGCTAGCTCAATTTGCACCTGTCAATGATGAAACTGTTAAAAAGATAATCACAGGTCTTAGTTCCTCAACCTGCAGTCTGGATGTACTACCTCCTAGATTCCTGAAGTCTGTTATGTGTAGTCTATTACCCTCATTGACACAAATAGTAAACATGTCTTTTTTATCTGGAACATTTCCAATGGCCCTGAAAAAGGCAGTCATCAGGCCCCTCCTAAAAAAGAGCAGTTTGGATGCTGCGGTACTTGAAAATTACCGCCCCATCTCAAATCTGCCTTTCATGGGAAAAATTCTTGAAAAAGTTGCCTACCAACAACTTACTGAATTTTTAATATCTAATGACTCATTTGACATGTTTCAGTCTGGCTTTAGACCACACCACAGTACTGAGACCGCTCTAGTCAAGGTAACAAATGATATTCGGCTTAACACTGATGCAGGAAAAGTCTCTGTTTTAGTCATGTTAGATCTGAGTGCCGCTTTCGACACCGTTGACCATGAGATTCTCATGCAGAGACTGGAGGACTGGGTTGGTGTTGCTGGTACCGCCCTAAGCTGGTTTAGGTCCTATCTAGAAGAAAGGAAGTATTGTGTGGAGATTGGAGACTATGTCTCAGATAATATGGCCCTGACCTGCGGAGTGTCACAGGGGTCGATTCTGGGACCTCTCCTGTTCAATATTTACATGCTGCCATTAGGTCAGTTAATTCAAAGTATGAAAGTGTCCTACCACAATTACGCTGATGACACTCAGATCTATGTCTCACTGACTGCAGGAGAACATGGACCGGTGGACTCACTCCTTCGCTGTATCCAGCGGATCAGTGAGTGGATGCAATGCAATTTTCTCCAGCTAAATGCGGACAAAACCGAAATGATTGTCTTTGGTCCCGAGAAACAAAGAGAGACCGTCATTTGTCACCTTCAGTCTCTCTCCCTAAGGCCTTTAAATAAGGTCAGAAATCTGGGAGTAATAATGGACTCTGACTTAAACTTCAATAGCCACATTGGATCGGTAACATCAGCAGCTTTTTATCATCTGAAAAATATTGCCAAAATTAAAAATATTGTGTCCAGGGCAGACTTGGAGATTCTTATCCATTCTTTTGTTTCCAGTAGGCTGGATTACTGCAATGGCCTGCTCACAGGTATCTCAAAAACATGCAGTAAAACAGCTGCAGTATATTCAAAATGCTGCAGCCCGAGTCCTGACTAGAACCAGGAAGTACGACCACATTAGTCCGGTCCTCAGGTCTCTGCACTGGCTTCCCGTGGCCCAGAGAATAGACTTTAAAGCAGCTCTCCTGGTGTACAAGTCTCTCCATGGCCTTGCACCAAAGTACATCCATGATATGCTAGTCCCATATGAACCAGCCCGGACTCTGAGGAGCGCAGGGACGGGACTCCTGTTAGTGCCCAGAGTCAGGACTAGACAGGGGGAGGCTGCGTTTCAGATTTATGCAGCTAAAGTCTGGAACAGTCTTCCTGAGGATGTGAGACTGGCTGCCTCTCTGTCAATGTTCAAATCCATGTTAAAGACTTTTCTTTTTTCCTGTGCATACAACTAGAGAATTTTATCGTTTTAACACACCTTGTTATTTATTGTTGTAACTTTTTGTGTTTTTAACTATTTTATTGTTTTTAATTACTTGTGTGATTCTTATGTTTTTAAATTACTTATGTGATTTTAATGCTTTTTAATTACATATGTGTTTTTAATTGTATTTTAATGGTGATGATTTGTGCATTGTGTGGTGTGGACTGTGAGGCGCTTTGTGTTGCCCTGTGCAGGAAAAGCGCCCTATAAATATAGATTGATTGATTGATTGATTGATTGATATTATGAAGATATTTTGACATAACTTTAACGTGACATGAGTTTCACTGTTATTTTCTGGTCTATTTTTCTGAAAACAAAATGCATTTATTGTTTAGATTGAACCCAAACTGGATCAAATATAAAGCAAAAACATTTTATATTAAAGTATTTAACTTCTAATGATGTGTAATTGGGTTAAAATATTAGAATAAATAAAATGTGGGTGTTTTCCAGAGAAAATAGATTTATAACCTGCCTTGGTCGTCCATTACCATCAATGCTGCTAGTTAATAATAATAATGAAAACAAGTTTTAGGGGCCACAAAAAATTGACTTTGACACCGATGAGCTAAGGGTTGCAACTTTATACTTTCCTTTATATTATACAAGATTATAATTTATTTGCCAATTGCAGTAAAACCACATTGGAAAAACTGCAATGAATATTATGCTAGACAGCCATTTTGTTATTATTCTTATTTTTATTATCTCTTTTTGACTGTTGCACTGAGCCAAAGCAATTTCCTAGTCTGTGACCTCCTGTTACTTACGTGGCAATAAAAATGATTCTGATTCTGATTTGTTAGCCTGGCCTTATCCATCCGTACACTCCGCTCAATCATCATTTCACTGCATGTAACGTCTGGGTCTGGTCCCTGTGTTTGCGATTACACTCGGTTGAATTTCAACCGACCAATCAGAGAGCGCGGGAGGCGGGTGTTGTAGTTAGTTGTGGGTGACGTCTAGAGTTAGCGTCGAACGGGCAGGTTGTAGTTTGGCAATGGCAAAAAATGTGATAGTAAAGTAATCCGGTCTGGTTCTATCAAGAAATTGAAGCCGGAGCAAGAGGAATGTTTAGCAAATGTAATCGCTAGAAAAAAATTGTGGCGCTACTGCTCTGTTAGCGGCAAAGGAGGTGGCTAGGCTAAATGCTAAATGCTAACGACAGACTCTGGCGCACTACATAAACTCAGATCCAATCGTACGAAATGTAATTTGTACTATGGTGTGGTACGACCAGGCTACCATTTTATGTTATCTTAGTAGAGAGTTATTGCTCATTTCTTTTGTGTGCTCCTCATTCCAAGTATTCTGTAACTGGGGATGCAACACTGAAATGTCCTCACTGTGGGACAAATATCAATCTTATCGTATCTTAATTCTTATAATATACGGATCGTAAAATGGGACAGAGGCCAAAAAGTGATAGAAGAAAACGGGTTTTGAGATGGAGGAGCTATGGATTGTACATAGATCCACTTTTTTGCGGCGTGGAAATTCAAGTAACCCAGCTTTAAGCGCGTGTGGCCGTTTTAGCAGCTGCAGCGATTTCTTACTGAATGACACTCTGGCAGTTGTCGAAGCGCACTCGGAGGTCCTCGTTCTGCTGCAGCACCTGCCCCAGCTGCTCCTCCAGACACAGGTTCTTCTGAGTCTGCCGCAAAAACAAGAGATTTGCCGTTTTAGAATGAGAAGAGGAAAACAAGAAGAGAAACAAGAAACAAGGCATCAATATTGGCCCTGTTTCAATACCAACACTGCCCCCGACACTCCTCTACAAAGTGTGCATTTGTTTGAAGTGCACGCAAGGGTTTGAGTGGCAGGTTACAGCAAAAAAGGCGGAATTGGGACAGTGCAGTTTACGTCATTGACCCGTCAAGAGATCATTTTGTCTGACTCTGTGGGAAACAAAATATGTTGCTCAACGCACGTTAAAATAAATGTATATTGGTTATTTGTAATTAGAGATAGCTGTATAATTTTAAGTTAAATGTGGGTAACTAACTTATCTGGTCAGTTTTTATACATCCTAACTTTATTGTACCAAGCGTAAAGTTTAAATTGAATGTTATATGAATGCTTGGATTTTAAAAAGTTATTAAATTGCAAAGGGGTCCTTTTGGTTCATGGGTGATGTTTTTTCAGTTTTGTTTAACTGTAAAAAGTAATTTGTGCCTATGAAGTCCATATGAACGATATACCATTCTGTGTGAATCAGCTAAACAAAGTCAGTGTTGCACAAACCAGAGTCATCACATGGTCCCTGCTCTGAATGAAACCAAACCCAGAGCAGGAGACGATGAAGTCCCCAAAGTCTGAGGCTCCATTCTGTGATTCACGGTGTGTGAAGCAGCTCTAAAAGGAGGAGTGAGGTGGTGCGTACCAGCTGGTTCATCTGCTGCAGCCTCCTCTTGCCCTCCTCCACCTGCTCCGCCTTCATCTCGATCACAAACAGCAGAGACTCCTGCTCAGACTCCCAGAATTCTCCAGGGCTGCCGTGGGTCTGCGCACACACAGACATGACAAAGGCGTCAAAGAAGTCAATTCTGATTTGAAATAATACGAATATTGCTTTTGTCGTTTTCCAGGAGGTGGAAAGCTCTTACTGACGATACAGGACTTTCTGATGAGTTAGTTACAAGTTATCATGTGTTTTCAAATAGTAATGGAATTGACCAGAGGCCTATAGTCTCCAAAAATTAACAAACAATATTTTGGAGCGGACCGATAAAAATGAACCAATGGGATTCGTTCATCCCCAACGAACCCTGCAGGCCCTGCAGACACCGCTTAGACCAGAGCAAAAATGCCGGCACACTGCTGCCGAATCATCCACCTGTCAGACTCAGAAAGAATCTGTAAAACTGTCAATTTCTGGTGGAAGATAAAATGCGACTCCAACACGAACAAACCTCTAAAACAGCTGTTTGTAAATGACAGGGAAAACTACCACGTCCACATCTGAGACGGGACACATTTGTTCCCGACCCGGAGCCCAGCCAGGGCCGGTGCAGTACCTGGACGTTCCTCTTGAGGTCCCTCTTCAGCGTGGACTCCTGCACTCTCCTCTTGAGAGCGTTGTAAGTCTGCAGCTCCGACGTCAGCTTCTCCACCTGAGCCTGTGGCCACAACAACAGCAGCTTACACCTCCACCTCCCCCAAACACAGTCCCCTCAAAGATCAGATCCTCCCACCTTCAGGAGGCCCTCAGCGGCTGCAAACCTCTCCCTCAGCTGCTTCACTTCTTGTTCATGAGACGTTTGGAGCTCTGGAAGTTGGACATGAATCAATTGGAATGAAAAGCTGTGTGTAGCTTTTATATACAGTATATATATACATACAGAACCTTGTGGAATAATAGTTTACAAGTAACAGTAAGTAAGTCATCTATCCAGCCATTTTCTTCCGCTTCATCCGTTGCCGGGTCGCGGGGGCAGCAGTCTAAGCAGAGACGCGCATACTTCCCTATCCACACACACTTCCTCCAGCTCATCCGGGGGGACCCAAGGCGTTCCCAGGCCAGCTGAGAGACATAGTCCCTCTGTGTTCTAGGTCTTCCCCGGTGGGACGTGCCACACCTCCCCGGGGAGGCGTCCAGGAAGCATCCGGAACAGATGCCCGAGCCACATGGAGAAGCAGCGGCTCTACTCCGAGCTCCTCCCGTGTGACCGAGCTCCTCACCCTATCTCTAAAGGCGCGTTCAGACCAAAAGCTTCAAAAAGCTTTTGACGCGCTTCAACTGACGCCGGGATAGTTTTGTCATTTTGGTGCTTGAAGCTTTTGACGCGAGTGACGCGCCTGACGCCGGTGGGAGGAGCTTCTCTGTTGCCTGTAGTCAGGACAGCGGTGGATTTTTCAATGAGCAGCGAGCCTTTATTTGTTATATAAAGCAAAATAACGTTGTTGTAGGGCTTCAACAAAACATGTTCTGGGTTCACCACAGACTTGAGAGGCTGCAGTGTTTGCAGAGTTCCGTCATTTACTCCAGGAGCTGCGTACGGAGGAGTTTCGCTTTCAGCGGTACTTCCGCATGTCACTTGCCCAGTCTGAGTTCTCAAACCCCGGAGCTCGCCTCTCCCCGGCTCTCCCTGCCTCTCCCTGCCTCTCCCTGCCTCTCCCTGCCTCTCCCTGCCTCTCCCTGCCTCTCCCCGGCTCTCGCTCGCCTCTCCCTGCCTCTCCCTGCCTCTCCCTGCCTCTCGCTCGCCTCTCCCCGGCTCTCGCTCGCCTCTCCCTGCCTCTCCCCGCCTCTCCCTGCCTCTCGCCCGCCCGGAGCTGCCTTGCTCTAAGCCAGACTCATCGTCAGCCTGTTCTTATTTTAAATAAACTACGTTTACTACACAGCATGTGTACAATGATTTTTGTTACTCAGAACGTTACTACTCATACAAATAATATTACTAATAACAATAATGACAATAAAACAGCAGCAGCAGCATGACTTCTCTTCATGACAAAGACAGACCCTCTGCTGCTGCTGCTCCTCGTCTCCTGATTGGTTGAAGCCCGCGTCAAAGCTTCAAAAGCTCAGCTTTGCTCAACTTCGGCGTCAAAGGGATTGTTGTGATACGCGAGCGTTTCGCGCGTCAAAAGCTTCAAGTGAGCGCGTATTACGCGCGACTCTTGAAGCTTTTGACGCGCGTCAAGTGACGCCGGGGCTCTCGGCTTCACCTGACGCGCTTCACCATTCACTTTCAATGGAAACCTGACGCTTTTGACGCCGAAGTTAAGTCCGGTGTGAACGCCCCTTAAGGGAGCGCCCAGCCACTCTGCGGAGGAAGCTCATTTCAACCGCTTGTATCCGCGATCTCGTTCTTTTGGTCATTACCCAAAGCTCATGACCATAGGTGAGGGAGGGAACGAAGATTGACCGGTAAAGTAAGTAATGTTTATTCATATAGCGCATTTTTACAGATGTTTTTTTTGTTTATGTTAAGTATGTTCTGATATTTTTTACCTTTTATTTGTCGATCATGGTCTTCTGAAGCAGCTTTTCTTTTTTGTTCAAACACTACATTCAAATCCGCTGTGGTTTCAGTCTTCACCTGGGAATAAAAGAAGGCGTTAAACAGACATGTCCAAACTAAGGCAAGAGAGATGAGACGAGATGAGAGGGGGAGGAGGGACCAGGACAGTGGGACGAGGGCCTGACCTTGTCCAAGATGCCGGTGACCAGGGCGCACACCTCCTCATGGGCGTGTCCTTTCAGTAGCTCTGCCCTGGACGCGTTCCCATTGGCCGACAGCACTTCCTTCAGAGTGCGGAGCTGCCACTCAAACCTCTCCAGCTGCTTCTCCAGACACAGGTCTGAGCCACAGCATGGGTCTGCGGAGAAGAGCTGCTTTAGACCAGTGCGTCAGGACCCACCATCAACATATTATTTTCAAAAATAGTTAGTCTCGTGGCATAATTGGCTCTGTCATTTTCTTTGTACTAATAAATACCAATGTGTCGTTTTGTTATAGTGTTTGTTGAAATATGACTTGTGCAATAATGCTAATAGGATTATGAAATTATTGTCCTATGAGCACTGAAGGATACTACAAAGCTACAATTATGAACCAATGACTCCAACAGACTCCAGAAAAAAAGGAACAACATGTCACTTTTACCTATTATTATTACCAATTATTTTAATTTTTTTGTCTTGATCCAAGTGTAAACAGTTCCCTTATGGACACATCTCTTAATATCACTTCCTTAAACATAGGAACGTATGAAGTTTTTATTTTCACTGCAGTGCTTTTGACAAACTACAAACTATCCTGTGACCCACATGTTGAGAACCTCTGCTCTAAACACAAGGCCACGTGTCCCTCGTCTCCTCCAACGCAGAGTCAACCTCTGACATGGCATTTCATAGAAAGAACAGATGCAAAGAAAAACAAATGACCAGAGTATGTTCAGAAACTCATTATAACAGATTTGAAAACAAAGCACTTTGGACAGAAGGGGTGGGGTGATGTGTTGCCAAAACGTAGCAGAAGTTCCTAACATGAGACCTGGTTTTACTTTATTGCCTCCATAATGTTTTTGATGAAGAAATAATACAGTAGCACACACGCTGACACTAATGCTAACACGTTCTACACTAACGCACACAGTTCAAGGAGAAAGAATGGGATAAACACAGAGCATTTGTTTTTTATTGCAAAGAGTAAAAAACAAATGGTCTGTGTTTATCCCGTCAGGCTAGATTTACGACAGTGACTTGGTTCAGTTGTGGATCAAAGTTTGAATAGTACAAACTGGCATTTCAAGAGTTGGGGATCTTCAATTCTTTTCAACAAAGTCAAATCTCTGATCCCTACACGACAAGTGCTTTCTAAATCTTGTTTTTGTGAATGAGTGTGGGCCAGTGATTTTATAATAACAGTCCTGGAGCGGAGACGGGGCCAGGTCTGCACATGCCCATGAGGTCATTGTCAGCCAATCACAGCCCAGGGCCTTCGGCGGCAGAGTTTTACAAGAATGACTTCATACGAGGGACGGGAACAGGTTAATGAGCCGGTAATACGTTTCTACAAACAACTCATCTGCAACTGTTTCAATGTTGCAATGTAGGAAGATACTATTCTATCACCGGTCACAGGGATTCAAAAATACCATACAAGATTGATTATCAAGCTGAATTTTGATTACTTTTCCCAATTTGACCAGCCCTACGTCAGACACTTTTAGCCCCTAGTTTGTAATCAACCCAAAAGGAGCCATGGGTCAGAGCAACACAAAGGATATTGTGAGGGTTAAACAGCAGGACTCTACATGAGACACACGGTAGAAACAAAAAACCTTGTATATGGATTGTATTAGTCTGTTGTCAAATTATGTTAATGCTGCTTTTGGAATAAACATAAATACAGTGAAATGAAAGATAGATACATAGACACTTTATTGATCCCCGTTGGAGAAATTCAGGTGTCCAGTAGCAGCAAAAATAAAAAATAATTGATAATTGATAATTCTAAAAAGCTAACAATAATAATCAGCAACAGCCCTTCCGGTCACAGCAGCAGAGGTGGAGTAGCTTCTGGGTGGAGCAGGACAGGTCACAGCAGCAGAGGTGGAGTAGCCTCTGGGTGGAGCAGGACGGGTCACAGCAGCAGAGGTGGAGTAGCCTCTGGGTGGAGCAGGACAGGTCACAGCAGCAGAGGTGGAGTAGCCTCTGGGTGGAGCAAGACAGGTCACAGCAGCAGAGGTGGAGTAGCCTCTGGGTGGGGCAGGACGGGTCACAGCAGCAGAGGTGGAGTAGCCTCTGGGTGGAGCAGGACGGGTCACAGCAGCAGAGGTGGAGTAGCCTCTGGGTGGAGCAGGACGGGTCACAGCAGCAGAGGTGGAGTAGCCTCTGGGTGGAGCAGGACGGGTCACAGCAGCAGAGGTGGAGTAGCCTCTGGGTGGAGCAGGACGGGTCACAGCAGCAGAGGTGGAGTAGCCGCTTGGTTCGGACTATTTTCTCTGCTCTAGTCCAAAGTAAAATGCTAAATGCCTCATTAGCATTTTTCAAAAAGTTAGCATTCCTCCAGTGGATTGTGTCCTGATCCACTTCGTTCAGACCATGAATCCTCTCTGCTCTGGTCTGGAGTCTGGACTAGTGTAAAACCATGAACACTGTACTGCAGCAACATCTCAGGGAGAAATATAATACAAATTATAAAAGCATAGAACAACTGTTTCAGAGCTATTTAGGACTTGCAGCCGTTTCCAGCGCATTCAAAAGTATGTGAGGGTTAAAAAGCAGCTACACCAGGACTTTACATGATGGTGTGAAAAGGGCCGTCTCTCTAACATTTGTAAATAATCACGTCATTTCAAACTTGTACAGATTCAACAAAAACAGACATGATGCAAAATAAAGAGAAGTACCCCGTTTGGAAACGTGTTGCCCCTCTCAACCCCGACAACACAAAACAAACACACAGAGACACACACAAACACACGCAAAACTGTTATCGCTCATTGAAAATAAAAGAGCCAGACTTTTGCCACGGTGCAAAGCTTGACCTTTATTGACCTCTGCTTTACCAATTATATAATTTATTTAACAGGGAAAATTCTCATTGATACAATCGTTCGTAAATGTACCGGAATTAGCGAAAACAGCTATTGTTTATCCTCTCTCCCTGAAGGCACACGGTTGTGACAGATAACCCAACTAGAAACAATCCCAAATATTAATTCATAAATTAATGCAACGTATTGGCATTAATAAATGTACTTTTTAAATAATAATAATACATAAACAATATCTCATTAATCATAATAATAATAGAATAATAATAATCATAACCACAGTCATCAGCAATCAAGTCTAAATAACCCTTTTTAATGATTAATAAAAACAAATACTCCTGTGTACTGTATGTGTGGATGCACGTGATTTTAAACTGCTTTTATTTTCAAAGTTTTGCTAATTTATGATACTAAGCTTCCTAAACTATTTCATTTTATTATTTTGTCATAATCTGTAGTTTCTGGGTCTAATTTCATACGATTAGCCCGACATGCAACTCTCCTCTGAGCTCAGTCACATAAAGACCCAGTCTGATGGAGCAGTTCCCATGAAAAGCCCGAGCTCTAAAGAGGAAGTGATGTAAGAGAAAGTGAAAGCCTCACCTCGCTCGGCACTGGGCCTCTTGTCGCTCTTCTTGCCTTTGCTTTTCTTCTGAGGACACACAAAAACAACAGTGTTAGTGCTGGGACGTGTCGCAGACCTGTGGCCAAACACAGGCCCGAGACTGAGCCCACCCACATTTAATGACCAGCAATCAATATAATAAAATATATCTTCAATAATCTTCTCCAGTCTGAAGTTGCCCCTGTTCTCTCGGACTGGACCCGAATAATTGAGGATTTTACGACACGGAGAGACTGACTTTTTCACTGCGGCCTTTCCAGAGACAAGTGCAACAAGTACTGGGAAAAATGGGCCTCATACATAGGGGTGGGCAAAATATATCGTGAAAGTCAATTTGAAGATATGCTTTTTTTGTATTATCGTCCTTTTTCTTTTTACATACACATTACTGTTAGAGAAGGACAGATGCCCATTTGGTCGAATGTGTGCCTAAAAAGCCAATCATTGCTTTATTTGTACATTTCAGAAAATATTGAGCTAGGCTTTTTGGATGTGTTCTTTCTGTGTTACTTGAATTTGATTTTTAACGTTAATATATGTTTGTGCATGTTTTGAAAAGAAGTGTGAAGTACTTTACAAATAAAAAGCTTCTATTTAGATCTACGCTGTCTCTTTCTATAGATGCCCCGGCAGCAAAACATTACAGATCATTTTGTGTAAGAATGATTGATTTTAAAAGATATCGTGACAATATCGTTATCGGGAGTTGGGTAAAAAATATCGAGATGTTTATTTTTGTCCATATCGCCCACCCCTACTCATACATAAAAATGCAATCTGAATATTGTAAAACTATTAATGATAGCTGATGTCTACATACATACTGTACGTCATAAGAATGCTCTGTACTTTCTTTGTGGTCTGCGATATGTAATGTTGGAATGTTTTTACCATTATGTACAGTATAACTAAACAAAAATCTTACAATAATAAAGTGTGAGAAAAAAAGGATCTTCTCCAGTCTGAAATACTAATCTATACATTAATGCTTTTCAATTCCAGGTGGTCAAGACGTCATATTATTTAGAAATGGAATAAAATCTTATTAACAAGTGTTGTGTTGTCTCCATTATGGGATGGAAAGGAGACAGTATTCTTCCCCCTCGAAAAATAACTATTGAGTTTATACCAAAAGGTTCAGCTTTGGTCTCCTCACAGCGGGAGTTTCAGTTTGACATGATTTGATATGATTCATTTCTAAATAATATGAGGGGGCTAGCATGGATGTTAGCCTGCGTACAAAGACCCACACCCAGGCCACAGGTGACTGCTTTAAGGACCAGGTCTGTCTGAATAACCAACGGCCTGGCAGGCTCTTTGAATTACAGTAGTAAGATAAGGGCCTCCAGAAAGCATTAGGAACCTGCTTTGTCACAATTTCTAAATATGCTATTGCTAAATTTAACGGCAAAAGCTGCACTGGTCTGTGGGACTTGGTTGGACAAAAACAAAACATGTTGTTGCTTAGGGGTCTGTATTCAGTCTTTACTCAATGGTATACTAAAAATCCATAAGAAAAACAAAAAAAATATATCCTAAAATAAAATATATATAGTTTAATCTGAAAAATAAATACATACTTTTTTTTAAATTGTAAACAATTGAAAACTATTTTTCAAAGTATACTTAAAAATTATGATACCTAATACACCAAAGCGGTGTTGGTAAATATTGATTTGGTGATATACACCCCAACTTTACGAAGTACACAACACAAACCTGAGATAATACGTATTGCAAAAGTGTCCTGGCCCCAGCGCTCTGTTGAGAAAGGTGAGCTCCGTGTGGATCTCTCCGATTGCAGACCTGTTTCTCAATCACATGTTTTCAAACTGCTCTGGGACTGATTTATGTTTATCATGAACGAGAGCGAGTGCATTTGTGTGGGCAGGTTTCTGCACGACAGCTCCCTATAAAGCTAAGTACTACATCAAATACACCAGAGGCCAAAAGACGCTGTGAATATATTATATATTTATATGTTATGGGGGATTGCACTTTGACAAATAACAACATTTTGCAAAACAAAGCCTTGCAAAACTATTAATACAACTTGAATTTTTTCTTAATGAAAGTTCACTCACAAGTATCAGACGACTGAAGTGAAACCAAAATGATACATGATTCTGTTTCAACAATTGAAAACCGAATAGTTGGGCCTGCACAAGTTTTCATGCAGCACGATTTAATACTTTGTGGAACAACCTATTGCTGCAATAAAAGCTGTATATCTTTAAGGATATGACTCTACAAGATTTGCACATCTAGAGACCAAAAGATTGGCCCATTTATCTTTACAAAACAACTCAAGCTCCGTCAATTTTCGCCGCTTTAAACTTCTCCACAACTATCGCAGAATTGAATCACAACACTTTCTGTATCGCGATATGTTAGGAACCGCAATAACATTGAATCGTGGCCTAAATATTGCAATACTATTGAATAGTCACATTTTTAGCATTTCCCAGCCCTAGTGAGCCTTGCTTTTCAATACAATATTCTTGAGTGGCCTGTTTGGGGGAAGGACAGTGTGTGATGCTGCAATATATGATGAAATAAAAAAATACATTCAAGAGCGTGGTGTATAGAGAAGTAAGGGCCTGATTCTGACGTTGCAAACCTCCAGTCTTTAGGAGGTTAAGTTCGAACATGTTAGAATGGCTTTACATTTGGAGTCGCAATTCCTACAGACACCGGTATTTTTAACACTAAACAACATAACCAAAGTACAAGTACCTAAAATCATGTTCAAACTACTAAAGCATAATATTAAACAGTGTCCATCTCCTGACAGTGTCTTGCACGCGGACATTCTCCTGCGAGGCGTGGATCCAAACAGTGACTTCACTCTGACATTACCCAACCTTAAACAATCAGTGCAGCTGGAAGTGCCGTGTTTATGTGAGAGTCTGCAGCTTCTGTTCTACCTTTCCTCCACTTTCACAGCTCAGCTTTTCACACAAATACAACAGTCGGAGACCCCGTCCACTAGGCCTGTCACGATAACAAATTTTGCTGGACGATTAATTGTCTCAGAAATTATTGCGATAAGCGATTATATTGTCGTTCTGAGATCATTTGCATCGATTACAATGATCATGCAGGTACACCTTTTCAAAGAGAAATAAACTTTTATTTTTAACGAATATTTAACGCTAGAACACAATAAATTTACAAACAACCAAAAACAATAAATAAAATACTCAGTCTCTTAACAAAAAATGACCAGGAATAAAACTGCCAGGACCTTTGTAAAGAAAATATGAAACAGATGCCTCAAATGTCAATAATTTCTCAGACTTTATGGCAGATTACGAGAAAGAAATACCAACATGTTGACTTTGTGTGGTTTAAGACAGGATCTCTCAGGAGTAGTCCCACCTCCCCACACACCAGGCAAATGACAAGTGACTGACATGTGGGTTCACCAATGGGGCGTACAGAAGTCCTGCTGCGGTAGCGCCCACCGGACGTAGCGGGGCGGGCTTTGATGCTAACAGCTAAGCTAGCGGGTTTTTTGTGTAAAGTTCTACTCCAAGAATGCAAGTCTGCAGCATCTCTGTGTTCAGAGACCTTCTAGAGACTTTATATAACAGCAGTATGTGTTCACGGAGGTGCGCCATAAGTTTATTTTATTGGTATGGTACGGTACTTCTGCATCGGCGAACACGCTAACGCTAGCTGCGCTAGTATAGTCACTAATCAAGCCTGAATGAGAACTCAGCTGCCGGCATATGTTCACAACTACTGTGTCCCCCATTGTCAATCCTGGTTAAGTCCTGGTTTAGGTCCTGTTTTGGCTGTATTTTGTATTTTTGAGTAATTTCCGTCTGCTTGCTAGACCGCTAATGTTCCCGTGACCACTTTGCGGCTCTCTGACCCGAGAGAGAGGGGGAGAGAGACGGGGAAAACAAACAAGCATGCAAATGGATTTATCGCGGCCAGAAAAGTTATTGAGCAAATTTTATTTATCGTGCGATTAATTGATTTATTGACTATCGCGACAGGCCTACCGTCCACGCCAAGTCAAATTCAGGCCTAAAACGTAAAAACACTTCATCAATCCAGTGTATAGGATAAGATATGAGAAACTTTATTCGTCCCGCAGTGGGGAGATCTCATCTATACAAAGCCGATGTTTTGGGGGTCTGAAAACGCACATTTTATAAACATGGTGGTAGAGTGGATATGTTTGAAACTGCTGGATACGCTTCTCAGTGTTTACGTTGACTGCAGACGTTTTTTAACACAATAACATCATCGCTGCAGTTACTCTGTGGCTGTTCTGACCTGAAATGGTGAAGTTAAGGGACATCTCCTCCACAGTCTCTTTGTGCAGACGGTGGGAGACTGACGGTGGGAGACTGACGGTGGGAGACTGACGGTGGGAGACTGACGGTGGGAGACTGACGGTGGGAGACTGACGGTGGGAGACTGACGGTGGGAGACTGACGGTGGGAGACTGACTGTGGGAGACTGACTGTGGGAGACGGTGGGAGACGGCGGGAGACGGCGGGAGACGGCGGGAGACGGCGGGAGACGGTGGGAGACGGTGGGAGACTGTACGGTGGGAGACTGTACGGTGGGAGACTGTACGGTGGGAGACTGTACGGTGGGAGACTGTACCATGCAGAGTGAGAAGGTGCCGGACGACTCTGGGTCAGTCTGCATTCTCAGTGAAGGCCTCTGTGGCATCTGTGGAACTCTTTGCCACTGGAGCTGAAGTCACAGTCAGACGTGAGACTTTTCTCCACAAGACTGAAAAAGTGGTTTAAGGACAATCAGAAGTGTGAGCACTAAACCTGGATCTAGTATGGACAAATGGGGCCACTTATTTTTATGGATGTGTTGTTGTTCTTTTCCCCCCACTCTCTTAAACTTGTTTCTTCACTGTTCTCCAAAAGCCTAACCAGGGACGGGGGCTGTAAATTATCCTTTGGCTAGAAGTCCTGTGTACTTGACATTGGTTACCTGTGGATGACAATGTTTTTTTTGTACTGTCCCTGTCAAATAAATAGATAAAATAA